AGAGTTCGTGCATACAAGGCGGCGGGGATCTCACACGCCGTACTCGGTGGGGCGGCGGATCCCTTCGCTCACTCCGCGGGCCCATGTCATCTCACTGCTGTCGACTGGCCCTGGCCGGGTGTCTGTCTCCCCATGTCCGAAGATGACGTTCTTGTTATTAGTGGGACCTCTCCGCATCAGTCTTTTTCCCCGCCTTATACTATCTCCGCTCAGATCCAAGCGTGCCCAGCTTGACACAGAGTCGGACTCGCACACACTCCTCGCTCATGCTCAGACTCACTCGCATACAGGCTCACTCATACCATACTCAGACCCGTTATAATCAGACTCGCCATGCTCAGAGCCACGCCATACACAGGCCGCTCGAACTCAGATCAATCGCTCAGACGCACTCGCTCCCACTCAGACTCACCACTCGTAATTACTGAGACTCGCTCACCACATCGATGTAGCAGGCGTGGCATTTGGCCACTCAAAGGGGGGGCCGCCCAGGTTGTTGCACGGGGCTGTTCGTGCCCAGAGTGTGGTGATGTATACAGCGGTTCGCTCGTTTAGCACCCCCGGCTCTTCTCGCTTGAGAGCCCCATGATCACCACGACGTAGCTAGCAGGCGTCGCATTTGGGCACACAAGGTCCAGCCAACAAGGAGTGTTGCACGGGCTTCGCGCCCAGATCGTGGGCACGTCTCTTGCGGTGTGCTTGCTTGGCGCCCTGGGTTCCTCTCGCTTGAGAGCCCAATGACCCGCGCTGAAACAGGCGTGGCGTTTGGGCCACACAAGGGGCAGCCGACCAGGGGTGTTGCACGGGCCCGTTGGCGTCCAGATCGTGGAGACGTCTCGAGTGTTTCGCTTGTTCGGCGCGCCCGAGTCCTCTCGCTTGAGGGCCGCATGGCCACCGCCATGCAGCAGGCATGGCATTTGGGCCACACAGGATGCCCGGGCCCGTCCGTGCCCAGTTCGTGAGGGGGTGCCTCGAGCGTTTCGCATGGTTGCGCTCCGACTCCTCTCGCTCGAGAGCCCCATGACCACCGCAATGTAGCTGACGTTGTTTTCTTGGTCACACGATGTGCACTCGACCAGGGTTGTTGCACGAGGCCGTTCGCGCCCAGTTCGTGGGGTCGTCTCGAGCGGGTCGCTTGTTTGCGCCCCCGACTCCATTCGCTTGCGAGCTCCATGACCACCGCGATGTGCAGTCAGTTCGTTGAAAGAAAGTCCGGTTCGAGGTCGGAAGGGGCTCGGTGGTTCCTTAGGTTGGTTTGCGCTCCGTTGCTTTCTTGGTGGCGAGCCCCTGCGGTGTTACTTCGTATTTTACGTAGGTTCCTTCGAATTTCACGGCTCAACTTGGAAGAAAGGGGGCTTCGTTATTTACGTATCGTTCTTGTTTCAGCAGCCCGGCTGTAGCAAGCGTTGCATATGGGTCACTCAAGGCTGCACGGGCCCGTTCGCGGGGATGTCTCGAGCGTCCCACTTGTGTGGCGCCCCCGACTCCTCTCGCTTGAGCGCCGCATGGCCACCGCCATGTAGCAGGCGTGGCATTTGGGCCGTCCACGGGGAAGTTGCACGGGCCCGTCCGTGCCCAGCTCGCGTGGATTTTTCGACGTCTCGCTTGCTTGGAACCCCCGGCTCCTCTCGCTGGAGAGCCCCGCGACCCCCCCGCTGTAGCAGGCGCGGCATTCGGGCCACGCAAGGTGCAGCCGACCAGGGGTGGTGCACGGGCCCGTTCGCCGCCAGATGCTTGGCACCCCGCCTCCGCCGCCACCGCCTTGCTGCCCCATTCGCCGCCGTCGCCATCGACCGCCTCGGTGTCCCCGCTCCTCGCCGCCGCGGAGAGGAGGGGAGGACGGAGGGGAGGGGAGGTGGGAGGGGAGGGGTGGATGGGGCCCGGGGCAGGAGCTGGGCCGGAGGGGGAGACGCGGGAGGGGAGGGGAGGAGGGGGGAGCAAGATGGGGAGGGGGGGGCGGAGGAGGGTGGGGACTGGACAGGATCCAGTGGCGTTGCCAGTGCCGAAGATTACCACACTCAAGAGAAGACCTGTGGCACAGGTCTTCTCTTGCTAGGCCAGCCTTGTCTACTTGTCTAGGACTTTTGGGACTAGCCCATGCCTTATGCGATCTGAGTGTTCAAGTCCTGTACGTGTGGGGGTAGTGGAGGACTTGCCAAGGTAGGCGGATGGGGAGAGGGGAGGTGCAGAAGGGCGGAGGGCGTTTGGGGTGCTTTGGGGCACGGCGTGCTTGGGCTGAGCTGATCGAATCTGTGCTTCGCAGAGTCCGCAGGAGGCACAGCCCGACACCCTGCGTCGTGCTCGGAGGCCGATGAGCTTGACCTCGCCCGCTGCTCCGTTCACCTGGCGCTCCGCAAACGTTCTGGCCAAGAGCCGCCACGCTTGACGTCGGTCGGGCGCGCGCGAACTCCAAGGGATGATGATGATGATGATGATGATGATGATGATGATGATGATGATGATGATGATGCTGATGCCGATGCCGATGCCGATGCCGATGCCGATGCCGATGCCGATGCCGATGCCGATGCCGATGCCGATGCTAGCTGCTGCTGATGATGACGATGACGATGACGGTGACGACGATGATAGTGATGATGTTGATGATGATGTTGTTGATGATGTTGATGATGATGATGATGGTGATGGTGATAGTGAAGTAAATTGTTAGCATGTTGCTGAGTCTCATGATGATAAGGCTGATGTTGCTGCTGATGATGATTGATGGTGATAATGATGAGAAGGATGATGATTATGATGAGACTGATGCTGTTGATGATTATGCTTGATGATGGCGATGATGATGACGATGAGTATGATGATTATGCTGATGATGAGGGTGATGATACTCATGATGATGATTATGAGGATGATGATAGTTATGATGATCATGCTGATGATGATGACAATGCTGGTCGTGTTTGTGGTGACGATGATTATGATGTCTGTGAAGAGACTGATCATTATGATGATGATGTTGACGAAGATGATGATGATGATGATGATGATGATGATGATGATGATGATGATGATGATGATGATGATGATGATGATGATGATGATGATGATGAGTATGATTATGATGATGATGATGATGATGATGACGATGATGATGCTGATGGTACTGAGGGCGTGAAAGCTGATGCTGATGCTGATGCTGATGAGCCTGATGACGATGATGATTATGATGTGATGCTGGTGCTGCTGCTGATGATTATGATGATGACGATGGTTATTGTGATGATAAGGCTGAGGGTGAGACTGAGGCTGCTGGTGCTGATGACGATGACGAGGGCGACGATGACGATGCCGACTACGATAAAAGCGATGGTGGTGATGGTGATCGCATATGTCTGTCCCCCTCATCGTTTGGGGCGAGCCGCTAGCCGAGCTGCTCGGTCGGACGCTGCGTTGCGTTATGGTGATGATGATACTGATGGTGTGTGTGGTGATGTTTCTCATGGTGATGGTGATGAAGAGGATGATGCTGATGCTGGTGAGGATGCTGCTTCTGCTGATGATGACGATGCTGCTGCTGCTGCTGATGATGATGATGATGATGATGATGGTCATGCTGATGCTGATTATGTTGGTGATGGTGACGATGCCGACTGCGATGATTGCGATGCTGCTGCTGCTCCTGATGCTGATGATTATCATGATGACGATGGTGATGGTGTCTATGATGTTGGTGCTGGTGATGGTGATGATGATGCTGCAGATGAGATTGAGCATGACAACGATGACGATGACGATAACGACGACGATTACGATGACGGCTGCGATGAATATACAGATGATAATGATGAGATTGATGATGATGACGATGATTAAGATGCTCATGGCGATGATGATGAAGATGGTAATGATCATGATGATGGTAGTGTGGTAATGATGATACTGACGCTGATGATGATGGTGATGGTGATGGTGATGATGACGCTGATGGTGATGGTGGTCATCGGGCTGATGGTGATGGTGATGAAGATGGTGATGATGCTGATGCTGACAATGTTCATGACGATGATGCTGCCGATGTTGATGACGATGACGACGACGACGGCGAAGTGTTCGTTGCTGTTGTCGTCGTTGTTGTTATTATCGATGTTATTGTTGTCGCTGTTCCTGTTGCGAATGCTGTTGCTGTCGTCGTTGTTGTTGTAGTCGTTGTTGTTGTTTTTGTTGTTGTTGTTGGCATTGTTGTTGTTGTCGTTGTTGCTGATGGTTGTAATGATGATAATGGCGATGATCATGAGGATGCGGAGTAATAATCATAATACGAGTAATAATGACAAGAAGAGGAGGATGGTGGATGCTGCTGCTGTTTATGATGCTGATGCTGCTGCTGATGATGCTGCTGATGATGCTGATGACGCTGACGATGAGGATGAGGAGGAGGAGGAGGAGGAGGAGAAGAAGGTGGAGGAGGAGGAGGAGGAGGAGGAGGAGGAGAGGAGGGGGAGAAGAAGCAGGAGTCGGAGGAGGAGGAGGAGGAGCAGGAGGTGGAGGAGGAGGTGGAGGAGGAGAGGGAAGAAGTAGCAGGAGCAGGAGAAAGGGAGGAGGAGGAGGAGGAGGAGGAGGAGGAGGAGGAGGAGGAGGAGGAGGAGGAGGAGGCCGCGAGACAGGAGGAGGGACGAGGGAACCGGTGGACAGCTGGTGTTCTCGCTTCCTCGCTTCCTCGCCCCGCTCGTCCCGGCCCTTCTCGCAGAGGGTGCCCATGGCCCAGCCAGGGCGGCCCTCGCGCCTGGAGCGCTCAGGCCCTCGGGCGCCCCTCGCGGTTGTCGGCGCCGCAGCCGTGGCTGCCGCCGCCGCCGTGGCCGCCGCCGCCGCCGTGGCCGCCGCCGCCGCCGCTCGCGGCCGTCGCTCACCGTCGCGGGCGGCTCTGGCCTCGAGACGGGGATCTGTCCATCACCACCGACGGGGGGACCGAAGGTCGATTCCCCGCGCGGATTTGGACATGCCCCCGCCGCGCACGAGCGGGTCCCGGGCGGCCCTGGCCC